TTATAGCATCGACAGTTAGCATAAGAGAGTGATTAAGAGGGCAAGACATATGAACACTGGAATTTGTAAGAACCAAGAAGTATGAATGCAATTACTGGCAGTAAAAATTACCTTCAATTGCTGGGGAAATGTAAAATAAGCAAAATCTCAAGTATAATCACATCACATCAAAACTATTTTATACCAGCCCTAAAATCAAAAGATGTGGAGTAGCTTGAAAACAGAAATAGGGTATTCAGCTTATATTTGTACCTACTGCAGAAGCAAGGATCACAATTATTGTTTAAGCTATTTCCGTGCTTCAAAATATATTCTTCGAGGCCCGAGTTTAATCTTTCAACATTGGAGCTTGAAAAGTTCAAAGGATTGCATTCATTAGGTAAAAACACATTTTCACATCGCAATCCAGGAACATCCCCTCGTTTAATCACCAGTGCAGCTGCTACACACTTGAAAATAAATCCAACTCTATTAAATGTTACTTGATAGAAAATTTTAACCAAAAAAAAAATTGCGGAATGAGATAAGTAAACCGAGAGCTATTGATTGAACTAGAGAAATTTCATTCCTAGCCCCATTTCAAGAAGGCTTCATGACATCTCGGAAAACGAAGAAATTTTGTAGATTCATTTAAGAAGCTGGCGTTTCAGCATTTCAAATATTTTCCTTTCCTTCCAGTCAGGTTTCCCTATGACCCAAAATTTCAAATGAAGGGTAAACCTTCTGAAAGATTAGTTTTCTTCAGAAATTTTTAAAAGGTCTCCTTGAAATACAAAATTTGGACCATACATTCTGATTACAGATTATAAGGCATCAAAGTAGCAGTTGAACTTACCGGGATCATTAGAATGAGCATCTGCAAAACCAAGAGACATGTGGATTCCGTAAATGGAAAGGAGAGATAAGGCAGCAGTTTGAGAAAATCTGTGTATAATGTCATTCAAAAACTCAGTCAAATGCTCAAAAGCAAACCTTTTGAAAGAAGCGTTTGATCTCAGTGAGCAAGGCATCGATGGTGTCAAAAATGGACAGACATACTTCAGTGCCGCTGAAAATAAAGAAATAAAATCATAACATTCTATATAACCTAAGATCAGAAAAATGTTTAACTATGGCACTTGCCTGAATTTTACATCATTCTTAGGAACTGAAGGCTGCCTAGTGAGCCTCTGGAAGAAACACGTTCTCTAAGATTTAAGTGATAATGATATATCTTATTATCACTAATGCCTGCAGCCTCGGACACAAATTTGAATTCATTTTTTTTTTTGGGTAATACAGAACTAAGTTTCAACTAAACTTGGCCTGTTATGTCCTCTTGGAGTTGGTCCAGAATAAAGTTTGGAGGTGACTCAAATCCCTTCTCCATGATAAAGTTTGAAGGTGACTCTAAATCCCGTCTCTCCAGAAGAAAGTTTGAATTCATTAAATACATACATGAACATGAACATGTGTGTGTTAGGATACTGAAAACAAACTAACGACAGGGATGTTATAATGTCTAACAAACACAAGTTGAGAGACAAATGGAAAAAAATGAAACAAAATAAGAAGAAGAGAAGCATGCCTCTAGACAGCATTTTCAACTCCAGCAGTATAGTAGCTGTTCATCCAAATGAATGATTTAAAGTTCAGATCACTAAACACATATTAGAAACGTCGTAAACTTGAAGCAGAATTGACAGCCGCATGATCACCTACATCTTCATAAGCTCTCAACAGATGGAACAAGAGAATATGCAGAGACTAGTGGTGATCACACTAGTAATCAGAAAAGGAAATCCCTAGTTCTAACCCCATTCCCTTAATCAGAGTCAAAATATAAGTCATTCTACAATGGATCCTTCACTAGCAAGAAAAAGAACACAAAACTTACTGGTAGTTTTGATAGAAAGCTGCCCATCAGCGTCACAACAAAGTCAAATAATCGTGAAACATAAATATGTATCCAGATCTTTATACCCAGAATCAGATGAACTCACCATCATCATCCACTTACCCATTTCTCCATTCCAATACCTTCTCTACTGTACTTAAGGTCCTGAAACTCCTCTAAGCAACTACCAGTGCCAGTATCCGATACTGATCATTAAGATACAAAATAAAAAGATCTTGTTAAAAACAATCTCCATTTTAACTAAAACTCTGTTGCAACAGTAAATTAACGGATTTATCTAGTAAAACCTTGTCATTTTTAAAAGCTCATTTATGTTAATTTTGACGAATTCATTTGAATCGAAACTACACCATTTCAACTTCAAAATGAAATGAATTATATGTTTATTTTCCAGTTTAGATCCATTTCTCTATTCTTGTGAAAGATCACGTCAAAAAAAAAATCAGAGTAAATAATTCGCATTATAATCAGGCAAAAATTAAACGAATAGTGAGAATGAAGTGATTCACTTGAAACTAGAATGATAGGAGTAGCCAGAGCGCTCTCGAGAACAACTGATTATCAACAGCATATTTGATATGCAGAAGAAATTTACTGCCAAAAAAGAAAAGAAAAATAATACGGATTAGGATGGATTAAAAGAAGGTTATGTTAACAATGAAAGATCTAGAAACCGGATTTGGAAGCCTAATTTGAAGATTGAAATTGCAACTTACATGTATGCAGAGCTTCTAAATTGAAGAAATGTCCATCTGAGTGAGAGAGAGCGTCCAACAAAAAATAAACTCTCGCGCGCAATTTTGTTGTATAGACTCACTGTTCAGCTTCATATACAGATATAAGCTCTGTTGAGGGAGTCCGGAAAGAGCGAAACCAAAGGGGAGACTCCAAGCTAACTTTTCCATACCGTCTGCGACCATATTCCCTTTCCGGAACACATGAGCAAATTCCGATTGCTAATCTCTTCTAAGAACATCCACGATGTGCGGTATTAAATGTGAAACCAGCTCCATACTTGTACCTTGTTGAAGCAGCAACCAAGCATCTTTCCTATTGGTCTCAAGGACTACACGTCTCAGCCCCAAATCCCAAGCCAAGTTTAGTCCTTTAAATACTCCCCAAAGCTCCGCACCGAGCACACTCCTACGTGCATTTTTACCAATATTGAGTGTTTTATGTAACTAAAAATATGGAAAGAAATCTGGGTGTTTTATGTTAACCCGATCGCATTTTTAAGTTCATGAGTAACTCGATAAGTTCCGAGACCAATGGAAAGAAATCTGGGTGTTTTATGTTAACCCGGATCTACTCCACTATGTGCATGTTGAAGAATTCATCAATCCGATAGGGTTTAATGAGTTGAAGCCAAGTAGTTCGCGCCACCATTCACTCTCAAAAATACATTATCAGAAGGCGATTCCTTCACTGCCCCACAGAACATACAACTTTCACCGTTTGTCATGTGCCTTCTCATCCGCTCTTCATTTGTCACAAGCCGAGTTTATAAACCATTTATATATTATCAATTTATTTATAATATACAAAGTTAACGAGTTTAGAAAAAACTTTTGAAGTGTGAAATATACCTTTTAAGTACAACAATTTCATCGATCAGTTAATTAAAAATAGTGATTAATTGACAACTATTTGATAGAATCAAATATAAATATCATAAGTGATGTTTTAATTTCATCTCTATTTAAATAAATAAGGAAAAAATTGATATATATATATATATATATAGTTAATATTGAACAGATTTCATCTATGTCTATTAAAAGCCATTAAAGTTGAATTTGAATATATTATTATTTTTATATATTTTAAAATTTTTAGACGATGATATTATTATTTTCACATGATATAATTAGGGGTGCCTATCGATCTAGTCGATCGCGAGTTGTGCAGTGTTTGACTTGTGCTCATTAAAATATTTTGTTGCTTAACTCGACTATTTGCTTGTTAAAATTTTACTCGACTCGTGCTCCTTAAATAAAACTTGTTGCTCGTTAAGCTCGATGCTCATTGCTCACCGAATTTCTACCTTATTTTCTTAGCTATAGATAATACTATATAGAGCTTAATATAAACATAAAATAATAATTTTAACAAAAAAATTATCAAAAGAGTGTATGAAGTATTTCAAAGTCTAAACTCCAAAATAATAATCCACAAATACATTAAGATAATAACTAGGGTTTGATTTTTTAGTGTAGTAAAATATTAATTAATAATTTAGTATTTTTTTATTATTTATTAGAAAATTAATAGATTAACAATTTATCATCTCCTTTTATTATCTATTAAATTAGTACTTTTTTAATGAAATATTTTTTTAAGATAACTACTAAAAATATTATATAAAAAAGTTTAATCAGTTACTCATGAACTTATCGAGTCGAGTTGGACTTTGCTCGACTCAACTTGTTGAGGTTTGAAGTCGAGCTTGAATTTAAGTTGAATTTTTACCAATATTTAATTAAGTCGAGTTCGATCTGCTTAACTCATTAACAACATCTAGGTATAATATCATGATAATACATGTAAGACTTGACGAAATAAAACTACAAACACTAAAAATAATTAAACATAATTATTTTTAGTGATAAATACAAAGATCATATATATATATAAGTCTATCAAAATTGTAACAAAATTTATGTTTTTTCATACAACAAATAATATAATTTTAAACAATTTTTACCTTAAATTAAATACTAAAAATCATATTTTCTTAAAAAGATTTGTGTGAAAGTACTTTTTTACGAATCAACCGCACCCTAAAACCCTAATCAGACTCTGGAGTCAATATCAATTCACAATTGACCTCGGGATTTTAAAGCCTTTATAGACATTAAATTTAAGGCGTAAAAGCAAGGGGAGCAGCACCTTTTTGTTTTCACAGACAAATAGCATCCACGACTAAGCAAGCAGACAAATTCCAAGCACTGTTTGCATATTGGGATAGGATTGCAGCACTACTTAGCATAGCCCTCGTTTTTCCATTGGACAAAGGTTTTTAGTTACATAAAATGTATAAAAAATCAATTGTTCTAGAAAAAATCATTGTATTAATATATATAACAATTGAACTATGATAAAAATTGAGAAATCTGAAGAACCATAACCTAACCTTGCCATGGTGTTTGAGTATGCTGGTTTTGTTGACCATATGTTGAAGAAGAAGTGTTGAAACGATGATTAAGCTCGGCTAAGTTGGGGAAATGATCTCTATCGGGAAATGCTTTAAGACCCAAGAAATCTCTTGTCGTCCCATTCCCATCATTGTTCCCTCCCGTGGCTGTAGCACCATTACTGGTGTTTCCTTTGGTGTTCCATGTCCTATCGAAAGACTGTTCAAATGGTGAAGACCCGTCAAACCCAGTTGCAGAAGGCAAAGAGCACAGCATTTCATTGAGAAGAGAATTTGGAGGAGCAGAAGAGTACTGTTCCATGAAACCAGAGGTGATAGCTGCAGCTTTATTCCAATGGGGAACCCCGCTTCCACGGTCTTGATCACGTGAGAATAAACCCAGACCAGAACCATCTGGTAACTCGGCAAAAGATGTGGAATCACTGGTTCCGGCTAATATGTAAGGTCGACTTTGCATGGCTACAGGTGATTGTTGGCTCATGGTAACACCCATTTGAGCTGCTTTTTGCAAGAGTGCAGTTGCAGACGTGTGTGGTGAAGCTATTGGAGACATGTTTTGGCTAGGGTTTTGCTTTTGTGACAGTCTGTGGTCTAACTCTAACCATAGTGGATTAATGCTATCTTCAGTTCCAGCTGTTTTGACTGATAGGGCATTGAAGCCATGGCTATGGAGCTGGGGTTGCAGGTTGTTGATCATATGTGAAACTGAAGAATCAGGAATTTGTTGTGCTGTAATTGCCCTTGCACTCTCCTCGGCCAAGGCATCACAAAAAGCTCTGTGAGTAATGAAACTGTCCCTCCTGTACAAAAAAACAAGCAAATAAAACAAAAACAGCTACTTAATGGACAACAGCATACTAATTTCTTAATCCAAAGCACCACTATCCGGTTCTCTTTGGCCATTAAAAATTGTTCCTCAAACCCCTTTTTGTACTGTATATATCAATTACAGACACACACCAGAAGCTGACGCAATGCGCATGCAGGAGAGTGAAGAGAGATGAAATGAAATGAAAGATTTGAGGAATATTTAAAGATCTTAACTTAATGAATGTTAATTTTTTTACCTGGAGAAAAGGGTGCCGCAGTCACATCTATACTCTCTGGTGCCACAAATTTTGGAATGAGCTTTCCAGTCAGATTGAACAGCGTAAGTCTTTGAACACTTTTCGCACTTCCATTTCTTCTCTCCATGCTTTCTGCAAAAGTGTTTCTTGATCCCCGTGAGGTCCCCGAGTGCCCTAGACGGGTCGTGGTGCACGCATGTTGTCTCCGGGCACACATACACTTTCTTCCTCGCCACTTCCTTGTTTGTTCTTTGCTTTAGCTTCCATGGCAGATTGTGTCCTCTTCTGTGTAGCTGGAGATTCTGGTCTCTCTGGAACCCTTTGTTGCAGATCTCACATATGAATCTGTTTGTCGCCAACAGTGTCTTGGGCGACAAAGCTATCACTTCAGCATCCGGGTCTGAAAACGCAGGGGAAAAAAATACAATATTGAAACCCCAAACTCGGACTGTTTTCGTTGATTTTGATTGTTTTTTAGAAAAAATAATAAAAACCTGGGTTGCCTGGTAGATTTCTCTTCTTCTTTACTGCAGTGGGTGCTTGGTTTGTTGAAGCAAAAGAATGTTGTGGGTACAGTACTGTGGCAGTCCCTGAAGAAGCACTAAATTCACCAGATGTTGAAGTCAAATTTGACATACTCTTGTCCATCATTAGACATACATATATGTATATATATATATATCAACCTTATAATATGTATGTGTATGACAGAAATCACAGAATGTTCTGAGATCTGCTTAAAACCCTAATTTAGAAAGGCTATTCCTAGTGGAAAGTAATAATTACAGCAAGAAGAGAAAACTTGTATAAGCTACTCTTCAAGTTCCAAAGAGAAAAAGAGAGAACACTTCGCTTGTTGCAGATGATAACACCATGAAGATCAATTAACATAACGCCATGAAAAAGACTCATAAAATGAACCCAGAAAAGATTTTAAAAGGAAACTAAATAAATATGAACTGGAAAACATGAGAGATTGGGAGAGGTATAAGAGATTGATAGAGCTGTGGCTAAGAATTGTTGAGGAGAGAGAGATTCCTGAGAAACAAACACTCCACTTATCCCAAAATCAAATACCAAAAAATCCAAAGCAAATAGAGAGTTAGCTAAGCTTTTTCACTTTCTGTCTTTTATTTTGTTTTCTTCTTAGGCTTACTCTATCAGAGGGGTGTAAAGAATTCTCTCATTTGATTTTTAACATTTTTATGCTTTTCTTGACAAACAAGCACCGATTTATTCCACCATTTTCTCACTGCCTTCCCTCTTAACATTAAAAGTAGACATAAAAGTAATCCATATATAAAAGATGGCACTAGTATTTTGTTCTAATAATGGTTTTGTTGTATCTATTAGGTTAAGATTTAATATTCAGGTAAGTTTAAATATAATATTTTTTATTTATTAATTTATTTTTTTAGTATAACTATCGGTTTTCGATCTATTGATCGACTAATCTGGATCGAATACTACAGATGCGACGACGACCCTCCTAACTCGATTTGCTCCATCCGCAAATGCCAGGATTCGAACCTCTGACTTTATTTAAGAGATCTAGTATTTTGTTCTAATTATGGTTTTTTTGTACCTATTAAGTTAAGACTTAATTTTCAGGTAAGTTTAAATATAATATTTGTTGTATCTATTATATTTGTGTTAATACGGGTCTTCAATACATACGAATTTACTTTTTAAGTAAAATAAATTTATTTTATTCTGATTATTTTTTATTTAATTTAACAATATGACTTTAGGCTTTATTCATGAAAAATATCTTAACATATGACGAATTTAATAAATTTGTGCTCATCTGTAAATGATTTGACCAATCAGTGTAGATTTTAAATTATTTTCTTAAATATTTTTCATGTATTTTTATTTTTCTAATTTTTTATATTCACAGTTTTTCCTAAACTAACCATGCAATTTAGAATTTATATATTCTATTTTAGTCTAGTTTGGTTTGGTCTTATATTATTACAAAATTATTAGTTGATTCATATTCATACATAATTGATTTAACAAGTTAAAGTAATACATAAATATATTTTTATTGTTATTCAATTAAATAATCAAAACCAAAGGATACATAAAATTATTTTTATAATTAAAAATCACATAATCGTTATAATAACAATAATATTATCGGAATCTATCAAATGACCTAAGTGATAAAAAATGATGTTTTTCTCTTTAGATGTCTCAAGTTCAAATATTTACGTCCGTAGAATATATGTACATTACTAGTTAACAAAATTTTAAACATATATTATCTAATAATCACCTTAAATTATTAAAAAAAAACCTCTTAACCAGAAGAGAGTACATCACCTGTGTCATTTTCAAAGAAAGACAGCAAGTTGATTACAGGCTTTTTAAGGAAGAATAAAAAGAGGTTAGAAAGCAAAACGTCTTTCTTCTGAGAAACTTACGTAAAAGAATGATTGGTTCAGTGATTGAATTCCAAATTGTTCCAGCAGACGCACTCCAAAATTATTTTTTAAAAACTTACCAACACCGTATGTATATGAGTACTGTTTAACGTGTTGGGATTAACTCTTTAACTATTACTCTCAGTTTATAAGTGGGAAAAAAAAGATGTCGGTCCCCATATGAGCTGCCCAACCCATCATCATCGCTTAAATTATTGCTGATGAGAGAGAAATTGAAAGTTGGGAGGGAGCAACATGAGGAGGATAAGAAATGTCCAACTTCTTTAACCACATCAATGATTGAACCCTGTGCACAAGCTATTGTTTTCAAACACATTTATATGGGTTAATGTTTAATATATTAATTTATATAATTTACAATTCATTAAGCTTACGGTGATGTCTCGTTAATAAGCTGAATAAAAATTTTATTCTTTACTCCTACATAAAGTTATTTATATTCAATGTTTGTGATATCTCTTTATATCAAATTTCACATTAGATAGTTTAGAGTAATTTATTGTAATCTTATATTAACAGTTAAAAAATAATGATGATAAAATTGGTTGATCGTTTGATCATAATTTATCTCTTTTAATATAAATAAAAAGTTATATAGATTAAATTCGGAAGGATTTTTTTCTTATTAAAAGACATCAACTTCTAACTGGACACAACAATGTGACATGTTTATTTGGAGATACATTGTCTATTAATATATATGTTTTATTCATGTATCACAATTGCTTTTTGTCTTCACACTCCTAGATCGATCGATTTTTTGCTTTTTAAAAGAGGGGAAACTGTGTGTTTAATGCGTTTTCATTTGTCATTTTCAGCTTTTACATTGTTTATTACATATCTGTCTGTCTATTAATTTCAGTTTGCAGGTTTTACTATAATCCACACCATTACATATATGATTCCAGCTCATAATTCCCTTATTTTAGTTATTTTATGAACACAAACACAATATCAACATCATGCATGCCTCGTTTAACAGTCTTAAGGAGTGCTTTCATTATTAAATTATTTTATATTAAATGAGTTTAACGTACTTTTTCGGTATTATAAATTGATTTAAATTTAATTTAATAATTAAGTTATATTTATTATAATTTTAATAGTTGAAAATTATTTAATGATTAGGTTTGTTTTATCTATTAATTTATGATAGGCATTAGATTTTTTAGAATTATAAAAGAAGCTTATTTAAGAGAGATTTAATTTTTTTTCTTATGATTTATACAACTGTTAAGATTTTATGTTGCATAAATGAATTTTATATGAATTTTGAGAGTATTTTTTAGATACACTGATTTTTATGTCATGTTTTGAGATATATATTTTTTTTATATTTGTACTATTTCTGTTTTTTATAGTTTATTATTGTTTCTATATCTATGAAGAAGTCAAATCTCGTTAAATTTTATCTTTAATATATAATTTATTTCATGTTGATCTTACCGTTGATTTCGATCCAAATTCGAGATGGATCACAAAAAAGACAAAATAGGCTTGATCATGTTTTCACATTCATGCAAGATAAAGGTAAATTAGAAAGATTATACTTTTTATCAAGGAGAGAGGGAATGAGAATTTTGCTCTTAAAAAGTATTGAAACTACAACATAAGAGAAATTGAAGATCTCAACCGAGAACTTTTAATCACATACTTTAAAGATTATTGACCTATGATTTGAAGTCTTCATATGCTTGAGATCTGATTTGAAGGATTTAGACCTTACCGAGGATATGACCTCTGATAGGAAAGTATGTAGACTTAAGATCAGGGTAGCCGAGTAGTACGGGTCACAGGCATATGGTGAAACATCTATGTCTTCCTTTTAATGCCTTTGTAATAATTTCCATGAATTCTACTTTATATACGTTTCTGTCATTAGAATTTATGTAGGCTTAGAACTAGGGTAGCGGAGTACTGTTGCCTTAGTTTAGGTTTTAACCCATTTGACTTTATTCCTTCTCGTAGCGTGCTATCGTTGACTTCTGTGTACCATTCTCTTCAGGTTTCCTCTTTTTAAATTTAGTCGGGTCTTACGTTTCTATCGATATGCATAGATTTTTACGCATGGATTTATTTGCAGGGATTATTTCCCATTACAGACGAGCATATGAAGACTGCATATGAAGACAGTTCAACTATGTATTTATTTATGTATTTATACATGCATTGCATTTTATTTTTATTTTTATTTTTCTGATTGTCGGAGGTCTTCCACAGAAGCTGCTCTCAATCCTGGAAAGATTATACTTAAAAACACTAATTAATGATATTGTAAAACACGTGTGGAAAAAAATACCTCAACTCTATTATTAAACATTTCAATACACTCCATTTATATACAATTCAAATTAGTCAGTTAACATACTAACTGACTTCCAACTAACTGCTAACTAATTAACAAACTAACTAACTCTCAACTTCCCAACACTCCCCCTCAAGTTGGCAGTCCAAAGACATCTTTGACTCCCAACTTGGAAATTAAATATTCATGTTGCCGAGCTCCTAAGGCTTTGGTTAGGACATCTGCTAATTGATTTGTTGTTGGAACATAAGCTGTGCTGATCGCTCCTTCTTGAATTTTTTCTCGGATAAAATGGCAGTTTATTTCTATATGCTTTGTCCTCTCATGAAAGATTGTGTTTGCTGCAATTTGCAATGCTGCCTTGCTATCACAGTAAAGTCTGGTCGGTTGAAGATCCTTTACACCCAGTTCTAATAACAGACCTCTTAGCCAAACAATTTCAGCTGCCACCATCGCCATGCTTCTGTACTCTGCCTCTGCTGATGAATTTGCTATTGTATTTTGTCTTTTTGATTTCCAAGAGATTAATGAATCTCCTAGTTTAACACAGAAACCAGTAACTGATCTCCTTGTCATTAAACAAGCTGCCCAGTCAGCATCACAAAAGGCTGTTAGCTGACATTCTCCTGTAGAGGACAGCAAAATTCCTTGACCAGGATTCTTTTTAATATACCTCACCACTCGAAGAGCAGCTTCCAAGTGTGATCTTTTTGGTTGTTGCATAAACTGACTCAAATGGTGCACCACAAAGGTAATATCTGGTCTTGTATGAGTGAGATAAATCAATCTTCCTATCAATCTCTGGAAAACTTCTTTATCATCCTGCAACACTTCATCATCTAACTTTTCTTTACAATTTTCAATCAGACCAGAATCATAGCCAGTAGAAGTAAGTTTTACATTATGTTTCATAGGAGTGCAAACTGGTTTAGCACCTCCTAATCATGTTTCTTCTATTAACTCTAGTGCATACTTCCTTTGGTTCAACAAAATTTCTTCTCTAGATATAAGTATCTCAAACCCAAGAAAATACTTAAGTTCCCCTAGATCCTTC